TGATTTGTACAATATTTGTTCTAATTGAAAGCGCACATGATTTTTTCCAGATTCGCACAATAACCACTATTCACTTTGGGCATTCGTTTGTAACTTTCAGCCCAACGCATTATTAATTGAAATGGGCTTTTAACTATATTTGCAAAACATTTTCTGTCCAACATGTTTTTCCCTACTGCTTTGGATTGGGCCCCAACTTCATTTAACAAATTGATCCAACAAATATTTTTCTTAAAACAAAAACTATTAATTATATATATAATTAATAAAACATTTTACTAAATATATTAATAATTTATAAAGTAAATTTAATAATTAATACAACAGAAATATAAAAAGCGGGTAATATAGTAACAGTAAGAATCAAATAGTTTTTTTTCAAAAATGCCAAATGGGCCAGCTTAGAAGCTTTTAATGGGGCTGTAATTTGTAGCCACACCCCCTCTTTGCTATTTAATGACCAAACAAAATTGGGCCAAATGAATTCTTAATGGGCTTTTAGTTTGTACTCGCACCTCCTCCATTTTAAAACAGAAAATTCCATTTAAGAATCAGTAAAACTAATATTTTTTTAAAAATGAAACAACAGATAACAAAAAGGAGAAATGGACTGACTAAGTAAATTACCCCATCCTTTTTACTAATAAAAAAGTAACTCCTAAGTTTCTTTAATAAATTTAATTATTATTTAATAACAATTTTAATTTCAATAATAACAACTATTTAGTAGTTATTATTTTGAAATAACTTTATATTTTCGAATCACATGGGCCATTGGTAAACACGCCACATGAATGGGTTCACAGATATACGAGTCCTTCTGATTTAAAAAGTCCCGCTTTCCTGAATTTAAAAGACACCCCCTAGTCTTGGATAAAGATGGGCCATCAGATACTGTTGTACCATCTTTAATTAAATATTTCTTCTATTTTAATCTTGAAAAATAAAAATCGTCGAGGTAGGAAAAATTTGGGGTACGACAGCCGTTAGAGTGCGAGTAAGAGTCGGTGTATAGCCTTTTTTGCTTCTCAAGTATTTGAGTATCCATGCTTGGTTTGTGGTAATTCAGATAATTTCCACTATTGAAGAATTACACACCGCCTTTGGCCTGAGGGATTTTGTAGTTCTTGTGTATTTGCAAACTCTTAAAGCCCAACGCATGTTGGCAATCCTTGTTTAGAGTCCCTACAGTTGGTCTTTTTTTTCTAAACACAAGTCCGCCTTCGACCAGCGTTTTGTTTAGGTTCAATACATATGGGAATCCCCAATAAGTTTATAGTTTACGCTTGCCCTTACAAGCCTTTGGTTATTTTACCCGTGTTTGCCTTTGTAATTAGAGTGCGAGTAAGAGTCGGTGTATATCCTTTCTTGCTTCTCAAGTGTTTGAGTATCCATACTTGGTGTGTGGTAATTCAGATAATTGCCACTCTTGAAGAATTACACCCCGCCTTTGGCCTGAGGGATTTTGTAGTTCTTGCGTATTTGCAAACTCTTAAAGCCCAACGCGTGTTAGCAATCCCTGTTTAGAGTCCCCTTCAGTTTGTCTTTCTTCCTCTTAAGGTTCGTCTTCACCCGATGTTCTCTTTCCTCCGGAATTCACCTTCGCCTGATGTCTTTCCATCTTAGGTCCACCTTCGCCCGGTGTCCCTTTTTGTTGGTTAAGGTTCATCTTCGCCATACATTATCTTTCCTCGGGAATTCACCTTCGCCCGGTGTCTTTCCATCTTAGGTCCACCTTCTCCCGGTGTCACTTTTTGTCGATTAAGGTTCGTCTTCGCTCGAAGTTCTCTTTCCTCCAGAATTCACCTCCGCCCGATGTCTTTCCATCTTAGGTTCACCTTCGCCCAATGTCCTTTCTTGTTGGTTAAGGTTCGTCTTCGCCCGACGTTCTCTTTCCTTTGGTAAGTTCACCCTCGCCCGATGTCTTTCCAGCTTAGGTTCACCTTCGCCAACTGTCCCTTCTTGTTGGTTAAGGTTCGTCTTCGCCCGACGTTCTCTTTCCTCCGGAATTCACCTTCACCCGGTGTCTTTCCATCTTAGGTCCACCTTCGTCCGGTGTCCCTTTTTGTCGGTTAAGGTTCGTCTTTGCATGGTGTTCTCTTTCCTCCGGAATTCACCTTCGCCCGATGTCTTTCCATGTTAGGTCCACCTTCGCCCGGTGTTCCTTTTTGTTGGTTAAGGTTCGTCTTCGCCCGACGTTCTCTTTCCTTCGGTAAGTTCACCTTCGCCCAGTGTCTTTCCACCTTAGGTCCACCTTCACCCGGTGTCCCTTTTTGTTGGTTAAGGTTCGTCTTTTCCCGACGTTCTCTTTCCTTCGGTAAGTTCACCTTCTCCTGGTGTCTTTCCACCTTAGATCCACCTTCACCCGGGGTCTCTTTTTGTTGGTTAAGGTTCATCTTTGCCCGATGTTCTCTTTCCTCCGGTAAGTTCACGTTCACCCGGTGTCTTTCTGTCTGAGGTCCACCTTCGCCCGGTGTCCCTTTTTGTTGGTTAAGGTTCGTCTTCTCCCGTCGTTCTCTTTCCTCTGGTAAGTTCACCTTCACCCGATGTCTTTCCATCTGAGGTCCACCTTTGGCCGGTGTCCCTTTTTGTTGGCTAAGGTTCGTCTTCGCCCGACGTTCTTTTTTCTTCGGTAAGTTCACCTTCGCCCGGTGTCTTGCCATTTTAGGTCCACCTTCACCCAGTGTCCCTTCTTGTTGGTTAAGGTCTGTCTTCGCCCGATGTTCTATTTTATTTGGTAAGTTCACCTATGCCCGGTGTCTTTCCGTCTTAGGTTTACCTTCGCCCGATACTCCTTTTTGTTGCTAAAGTCCACATTCGATCGGTGTTCAATTCAGATTCAATGTATAGTTGTATCTTCGGTAAGTTCTCCTTCGACTGGCGTCCCTTCGTAAGAGCCTTCTTAGGTCGGTCTCTATCTTGTGTATGTATAACCTTGACTCGACATCCAAGAGATTTACTCAGATAAATACTGTAATCCAAAAAAAAAAATACAGAAAAACAAAAATATAATAATTTCTGACCGGCTTCACAGTGCAAATTTTTAGGTTCTTTTAAGTATTTAATCTTCTTCCACCTTGAAAGTTCGAAAGGTTGGCGCTAATCTCACCTTCAGGTTGAAGACGATTAAATAGGGGCAGCTGTTGCACCCCAAAATTTTCCCTCCTAAATTCTTTTATTTGGGCTTCAGTTTTTGCATTCATCTTCATAAATTCCATTAGGTCACTAACATAGCATACATTTGCATTTCAATAAAGCGCTTGAGGTTAAAAGTTCAATGGTTGTGCGATATTAGGGTTTCATAGTGATTAAGTTGTATATACCTAATAAAGCTAATTACCTCTAACTCTTCTGGTCATTCTGCAAGCAGTGAAGTTTGGAATTAGGGTTGTATCTTATGGCTATCTTGAGTCTCTCTCATTATGAATTAAGGACATCCATCCATTACTCGTGTTACAAGTTCTGTCATCACTTCTTTGATTTTCTAACAAAAGCTTGACTTTCATCTGAAGCTTTTTCTTAAGTGACGAGTATTTGGTTCCATCCAAAAGAGTGTGGGATTTAGCATATATAATTTTGTCAATCATCTGCTCCTATTTTGTGGGATAAGGGTTTCGATAAGAGTATTGATTCCATTGAGGTTTTATTAAAATTGTCTTTCGAAATCCAAAGGTACATTCGTTGTTGAAGCTCCCAGAGGTTGATTATGGCATTGATACGGTGGAATCATTTATTCCTTACTTCATCAATTAGAGGTCTGCGTATCATGATTCAAAGTTTCTTTTCTAGTTAACTATGGGCTTAGGATATCAAGCATTCGGGAGTTGAGATTTCATTATGAGTCTATGGATTCATTGATCAAGCACGCCATTTGAAGTTACCCGAGGTTCAACTTGTCATGAATGCTTGAGTTGCATATGAGGATCGATTTAAGATGAACAGTGGAATTAGGGCTATGATCCATCCAATTCCATCAAATGCCAGAGATTAGGGTTTATTTCCTGACACCTAATCAAGATAATTGTGGTTTCTATTTAGAGTGTTTGAGCAGTGGCTTTAGTTCTTTAAATTGAGGCCCAGAGATTTAGGATTGGCGGCTTGTTGATACTAAAATTTATGACTAATATTGTTTTGAACCAAAGTTTGATTTCATCATCTCAAGTCGTATTCTCTTTCTAGGTCTTCAAGTCCATATTGGTTCAAGGGGATTTCCAAAATTGGTTTGTACCAAGCAAGATTCTTCATCCAAATTTCTATTCTAAATTCCACTCAAGGTTTTAATAATCTTAAGTTAGTTGAATGTCATCAAGGTTCTTAAACTTTGTTTTGATCATGGTGTCAAATAATCTGATTCGAGCAAGATTGGAAAATTGGAGTTCGAATTTCAAAGTTAAGATTGAATTTGGGTTCATTTATTGAAGTATTCATTCAATTCTTGATGCCAAAAGTTCATAACTTCAATTAATCATAATAACACCAAAAATCTGTGTTCATAACGTTTTGAGTTTCTTAAAGTGGATAAAGGGTTTATGTCCAAATGGGCACCAAGTTCAATATTCATCTTTATTCGTTCAAATATTTCATTCTTGAGTTCAAAATCATTGGAAAAAGAACAAGTATAAACTACTTCCATGGTCATTCATATTATTCTAATTATTCGAGTTCATCCATTCAATTTCAAACTTCGAGTGCTTTTCCATTCACCATGCTTATCTGTTGGTATACAGAAATCCAAAAGGATGCATTATGTTTCAAGAAAATGGTTATAAGATTCAAAGTGATGCTTTATTCATGAGAAATTTCCACTCCAAGTTTTAAGTGAAGAAAAGCACATTCAATGTTATCGTTCAAGTGGCAATTCAACTCGATTCTATACAAAGAAAGTTACAATTTCAATCTTATTCATGAAAGTTTTCTTCATATGGTACAAGAGAAAAGATATAAAAGCTAAAAGTCTTGAACTTATGTCGTTTCTAATCTTCAAGCCAATCACCAAAATCCTAATCGTCACCAATTCTTCCAGCTATGCGTATGTGAAATAAACCTGCTACAAGCCCTGTCAGAACACACTTACAGTCTTCAAAGTAAACATTTCCAAAACCCTTGCCAACACTTTGCAAACCTGCATAACCAGGAAATTCACCATATAAAAATTAGAAGCAAATCAGTTACCCAGAAAACACAATCAGACCAAGTTAATTGAGCAGCCAAAAAGCTAACAAATATTAACAGAGTTCTCTTTGCTTTTCTAACTTCTAACAGATTTTTCGGACTGCATTCTACTATAACATAATTTCTTATTATCTCAGCTTAACAATACAAGGAAAATATCAGGAATGTCAGAAGAAATACCAGTATATCCGTGAAAACAGAAAATCAGAAACAAGAAGCCTGCTGCTTCCAAGCCCAAGCTGGCTGCGAAAACCAAGCTAACTTCCAAATACCAAGCTGCACATCAAAACAAGTTGTATAATAAATTTCATGACACGCCAAAGCAGGTTATAACCAAGATATGCATCATAATAAATAAAAAACAATTCACAGTTTAATAAGAATCATAAAAACTCAGAGGAGGTGTAAGCTCATAACAGAATTAATCCCAACCATCCAGATCTCTAACAGAAATTCAAATCAACAGTTCAGATCAATTCAACCTCTAACTAAATTTCTAATATCTAACCAACTATATAATAGAACTCACCAGATTTATCAAGGGGATTCTTCATTCTCTTCAAAGGAATCACAAGAAAACTCGCTAAAATTTCTCTCTTCTTCCTCTCCCAATATTCACTCTCCACCTTTGCCTTCATCTTCCAAAACACTGAGAAAAAACTCTCTTCTGCATCTTCATCATTCGTCATGAAACCTCCTTCATATTCATCGCACTTCACTATTATTCTATAGACCTTTTCATCTTCATCATCAATTGTTTTCTTCTCTGCAATTTTCTTCCAAAATCCACCACTTCGTCATATTCATCTAAGAGAATTATCGGTTCACAACCACACGTTCTGTTCTTCAATCACCATCATGTTCATCCTTCAATATATTCAATCTTCATAGTCCTCAATTCATCATGTGAATCATATTATAGCAAGCGCAATATTTCTGCAAGAATGGAGACGAAGTCGCATCATCAAGATTCACTAAAAATCGCGACAGAAGATGCGAACAGAAGCAAAGGCTGAAAGTAGAAGGAGAAGACCAGAAGAAGGTTAAGCCAAAGTGAAACGTACCTGGTCTCTGGATTTCTTGTGCCACCGGCGCCGATAAAGAGTCACTAGAACTACACTGTACTACTCAATTTGTTACTCGAGATCAGGTTTCTTATTCAATGAATTTCGATCCAAATTGTTAGGTTCTCTGTTACAGTTGAACATAGATTCAGAATTTTTCAGGGAATTAAGGGAAAGTGAATGGTTGATATGCAAGACAAAGAAAGGTTTGAGTTGAATTTGAGAAGACGGCGGAGCGGTGAGCTTTGAAGAAATGAATGGCGACACATTTTGTTCACCAGAGAAGAGTGTCATCGTCTAAAGCTTGTAGAAGAAGACCGGGGTCAAAAAGAGAGTCTCGACCGCCGTTCCTATTGAGAGGAAGAAGAAGGCGAGATCAGGAATCTCAATCGCCGCACACAGTGTTAACCCTAATCCCTTTTGTTATGTTTTTTGATTATAATCTGATTTTATTAATTTTTTTGTTGAAATTCAATATAATTGATCAACAAGAAAATGAAATTGAGTAAGAATATGGATCATGGGCCGATCCGCATATCTCCCCCAAATCCAATGGAATGTCTTTTTTTGGCAACCTGAAACAAGAATTCACAAAGGCTAATTCTAGACCTCCCAAGCCGACTCTATTTTTTTGTAAGCTGAAACCATTCGTAACAGAAACAATATCATGGACTCTTAATTGGGTCGATCCGCATCTCTCCCCTAAAGCCCATAAAAAACTGTTTTTGGCAACTAGATAACATTGCCTTACAAAAAACTGTTATTTGGACTCTTACTGTTGGGCCTAGCATCAGATTACTTCAGCATACCTCCTGCTTATAAATAGCACCCCCTGAGTTTATTCTTTAGTATTTTCTTTTAAATAATTTTGTGAATTGTTTAGATTTGCTTGAACTTTTTTTCTTTTACATGATAAAAATAATAAAGTCAAATATAATTTTTTTTTTGTTTTTTATTTGATTTTAGGAATTAAATCCCAATTATATGATTATATTTGAGATTGATAATTCACCATTGCTTGTTGAGATTTGAGTCTTATGCATGTTTATTGTGTGATATGCAGATGCGCTTGATATTTCGATTGTGATTTATTTTCACATCGATGATGCTTCGACGCTTAATCCGAGCATTTGATTTCTGACTCTTTTCTTTGTTTGGTGAATCTTTCACGAAGATCGTCGGGTTTCTTTGTTTTGATGCTCGCTTTGCTACAGATTGATATCCGTTTGGTATTTTCTCTTATTTATCTCATTTCACACTTTACTGCTTTCTAGATATCATGAAAAGTAGGAAATAAAGAGTGTGCGCTCGAAGTCGTTGTTTAAAGACCTGTAGCAGGCATTCTGCACTTCATTTGCTATATGTGTTATGCTTGTGTTTGTTTCCTTGGTTATTGATTGATGAGTCACTCAATTTAGTAATTGAGATCAAGACTTTGCTCTCAGTGCATTCTCCCTATAGGATTTCATCGCTTTCCTTGATTTCTTGTTGATCGATGAGTCACTCAATTTATAAATTGAGATCACGACTTCGCTCTCATTGCATGTTCCCCGTAGGATAGTTTTGTTAGATTTTCTTTTGCATGCTAACCTATATAGGATATCTCTAGGTGTGTTCTCTTGAGCTTATTGGCTTGCTTGATTTCATCTTTGTGTGCATGTTTTGAGATGATATACCCTCGGCATGTTCCTTTAGGAGCTCTCAATTCAACTATTGATGATGATTCGAGATAGACATGGTTTTAGGTGATAGACCCTTGCTATGCTCCTTTAGGACTTCTTGATTCATCTATAAATGATGAGTTGAGATAGACATTAGGATTATTGTCCAATCATGTCAACATAGTGTAGAGATTTCCCATCAAAACTCAACCATAGGACCTTCATTGTATGATAACATTAGGGATTAGATTTAGGCTAGTTTCCCTTATATGTATTTTTCTTTTCTTTTGCATCCTTGCATTTAAAAAAAACACTTTTTCTTGGCAAATACATAAAACATCCAATAATTTTCAAATCCTTCTTTAAGGTAAAATCTATCAACCAATGCAAACTCTTTTGCGCCTTCGGGCTTTTCTTTCAAACTTTTCAGAAAGAACATGTTAATTCACTTCTGTGCTGACACGTGAGTCTCCAAAGGTCGAGCTGCGGCAGAAGACGAAATTGATATTGTTCATTAGAAAATACAAACCAACAAAATCATGTGAGCCGAACTACGGCTGCTCTGATTCCTTAAAAGGGATACGTAGGCATTGAGGTAGGGCCCGAGTGAGCATAACTTTTATTTTCCCTACATTCTTTTCTCCTTCCTTTTGTATGCATTCCCTGTACAACTTAGATATAGATTTGAACACACCCTTTGATTAGAACAACGAGAGTGGATAGCATAGAGTATTACGGGCGCGTGGGGTGCTAATAACTTCCCTCGCGTAACAGACTCCCTTACCCGATCTCTCAGTCGTTTGATCGTAATTTCACCCTTCTCAGGTTTACTCGATGTTTACCTTTCCCCTTCATGTGGGATAAAAAACGTTCGATGGTGACTTCATTGATTTCATTATCAGTTGATTGTTCAGTTGGTTGTTTCACTGGGGAGCTTTGGGAAATTAAATTTGGACTGCTATTAGGGATGAAGAGTATGCACGTCTTAAGACCTTGTTTAGAATGTTTCTACTGGGGATTCCTATTTTGTTGTTTATGGAGAACTCCGCTGGGGAATATTGACTTTGCTGGAGGGAAAATATGTGGGGAGTGTTGATTTCTGCTTGAGGGAAAGAGCTCAGGAGTTTTAGTTGTTTGTTACTCTACTGGGGGAGTTATCTCTTGATTGGAGGGAAAGGAAGTTAGTTGTTATCTGGTCGGATCCAGGCTTCACAATAACTTGTTGGGGGTAATAAAGTTAACTGTTATTTGGTCGTATTCCAGGCTTCGCAACAACCTAATGGGGAATATGAAATTAACTGTTATCTGGTCGGGTTCCAGGCTTTGCATAAAATTACTTCGAATAATGGAGTTTAACTGTTATCTGGCCGGATTCCAGGCTTCATAGAAAATTAAAGTTAAATGTTATCTGGTCGGATTTCGGGCTTCACAGGAAATTTCTAGGGAGGATGAAGTTTACTTTTATCTGGTCGGATTCCAGGCTTCGCAGTAACTTAAACTGTTATCTGGTCGGACTCCAGGCTTCGCAATAATTGAAGTAGTTAAACTGTTATCTGGTCGGATTCTGGGATTTGCAGTAACTTAGATGAAATCAAACTATTATCTAGTCGGGTCTAGTCTTCACAGTAAATTTTTTAGAGAGATGAAGTTGAACTGGCATCTGGTCGGATTCTAGGCTTTGTAGTAACTTAGATTAAACTAAACTTTTATCTAGCCGGGTCCAGTCTTCACAGTAACTTTCTTGAGAGGATATGGTTGAACTGTTATCTGGTCAGATCCAGGCTTTGCGGTAAATTGATGTTATCTGGTCAAATTCCATGCTTCGCAGCGATTAAAGAAGTTAAACTGTTATTTGGTCGAATTCCAGGCTTCATAGTAACTTAGATGAAATTAACTGTTATTTGGTCAGGTCCAGGCTTCGTAGTAACTTGCTTGAAAGGATGAAGTTGAACTGTTATCTAGTCGGGTCCGGGCTTTGCAGTAACTTAGAGGAAATCAAACTGTTATCTGGTCGGGTTCAGCCTTCACAGTAATTTACTGAAGTTAACTGTTATCTGGTCCGATTCCAGGCTTCACAGTAACTGATGAAATAGATGGAGTCAATTGCTATCTGGTCGGATTACAGGCTTCACAACCACTTGCTGAAGTTTACTGTTATCTGATTGGATTCCAGACATTACAGTAACTTACTGGGAATGATGAAATTGAATTATTATCTGGTTGGATTCCAGGCTACGCAGTAACTTGCTTGAAAGGATGAAGTTGAACTGTTATCTGGTCGGGTCCAGGCTTCGCAGTAACTTGCTTTGGAGGAATGGAGTCAATTGTTATCTGGTCGGGTTCCAGGCTTCACAGTAACTTACTGGGATAGTAACGACTCCGTTGAGGATTGAAATGACTATGTCGAGGATTAAAGGGTTTTGTCCATTGATTTATGCTAGTCTGAGGGGAAAACTCAAGCTGGAGAATTTGTAGTTTGTTGGAGGAAATAAACCCTGTCGAAGAGAGTTAATTTGATGACCTGTTGGGGAAGTGTTTTCTTTAGGAAGAACTCTGCAAGGTTTCTTAGTTAAGACTACCTCAACAGGGGAGAGGGTTTTCTAGAGATTGCAACTCTGGTTGGAGATTCCATGAATCCAACTTTGTGGGGAGGATTTTATTGAAGTATCCCTGTGGGGATATTCCAAATCCTTCAGGAGTTGCTTATTGCTATATTTATCCATACACTTGTTAAGAGTTTAATCATGTTCATATGCATATGTTCATTCAATTTTAGTCATTGGACATTTTGCATTCAAAACAGAAACAACAAAAGGTTGCACTTCATAACATATTCGTATTGATGTCTTCCTATAAACAGACATTTTGGTACAAGGAGACAGAGATCCTAATAAGAGGAAATCATCGAAATAA